CTGTCGTGTTTCCCCCGCTGTTGTTTCCCTTCCTTTGTGAAGCTCTATCCCCCGCGGTTAACGTGGTGTCTGGGTGAACCCATAAAACATCCGTATTGACACAGCTGGTTGCAAGAAAGTCTTAATAAAAATCAGACTTTTGAATGGCCGTAGACCAGGAGGGCGGGCAGTCAATTGTGAGAAGTTGCCAACGGATAATGAATTCATTTTTCACACTATCCAGTGGCTTTGTGGAGTTTATAATTAAGGTTGTACCTCATTTAGTTTCCCTCATCCCACTTACTCGAAGGGGTATGGGGGTGTCTGGGCTAGTAGTGAATCTTGGCCTTATGACTCATTCAGTTAACAGATGATGGCAAAAAAGGAAGGCCGAAGGCGCGTACAGAGTATTGAATGCACAGATCTGTCCTCAGGGCCCTTTCCCAAGAGACCCAGCGCTGGAGAACGGCCTCTGTCACCTTATCTGTGTGAGGATGCCTTTGTCAAGCTTCACCTTAGGTTTCATAGACAAGTCATAACACGGCCGTTTATTATTTGCTGGAGTGCAACGCAGAGGCTGTTGGTCCTACCCCTGCAAACGGCTCGGCCGCGCGGCGAGCAGAACGTCCCGGCTGCCGCCTCTGCTTGCCGCACGATACGAGCACGTGTTAGCTGGAGTAACTTTAACGTGTTGCCAATACACAATGTAACGTGTGTCCTGTAATAATTTGCATAGATCATAGAAAGAGAAAATACGCTAACGTGTTGTGTTGAGGTGCATTTGGAAGAAAGCCTTTGGAAAATTATGCCTTTCGTTCTTCCAGATTGTTCCCTTTGTATACGCAAGTTTTTGTCCTACAAAACTCAGTGCCCAACATGTTGTGTGGTAAGTGTTCTGTTCCATGATGGTTTGTTGTTTATTTCTAATGTATCTCAGGAGTTTTTTCTTTTGCACTCTGCTAAATAATTAATTTTTCATCGCACCTTAACACCTTTCCTTTCAGTGGGGGGAACAATGTCTGTTTGCACCAAGGGTGATGCTCTTACAATTGAAATTCTCCTCTCTGTTCCCGTAGGCAGAGGAAGTAGATGGAGAATCAAAATTTCAAGGTTTTTTGCTTAGCTTCTTCTAATAACTTCTAACAACTTAAGTGCATTCGAGCCTATTAGCATTAGCTTTGCTGATCTCCATCTTTCAGGGAATCTTTAGCAGTGTCTGGAGACTATTGAGTACAGAGGAGCTATAGAGCTTGCTGGCTATAGAGAAGTAGGTCACACAGCAGGGGAATGAAGAGTTTGCTGTAAAAATTAGGTTAAGCATATTCCTTTTGGACCAGACTAGTGGCAGGTTTGACCTGCTCTGCAGCTGGGTGGTTACTATGATGTGACCCAAAGGCCTTTTCTGACTAATGAGTGTAGAAAGCTGCTTGTCCTGGGCTCTTACCTAGCTTTCTATGGTAAACAGGTTGGTTTTGATTGAAATCCTGAAAATGGTAGGCTCTAGAAAAACAATGCATGTTACTTCAGAGTAATGGCAAAATAGAACTGATTTTCGTCCCTATTTCTAAAGCATGAATCAGAATAGTTTTTTAAAAACTAGAAAACAGATCTGTTTGTCTGAATGTTTAAAACTAGAGGCTTCTCAAAATGTAATCTCCAGAAATGTACTCTTATTATTGCCTTCTCAGAAAGTCCAGGGATTGATGAAGTAAGAATGGAGCAAGAGTAATAAAAGCTTTGGAGTGACAAAGGAAGAATAAAGATAATCACTGAGAAAGAAACCCATCAGGAATGCTGTAAACAGAATGAATTGGAGCTATGTTATGGTTCATCATCTCTTTATTCCATGACCATTCGAAAGATAACACTTCCCTTCAGGGGTTTTCATTTCTTGTTGCTTAAAGTTCTTGCCAAGTTCATAGTATTCTTGTTTTGACTTTCAGAATGGTTTGCAGTGGGCTACAAAAAAAGCTGTGTTAGAGAGAAAGAATATTGGATTGTGTAGCTTCAGCTTTATGCATTATCTGTTGCCTAAGAGTCAGCAAGCAGATGTTTTAGTTTGACATGTTTTTTAAGGAAAAAATGCTTAAACTTTATGCATCTTCCTTCAGCTGTCAGCTCAAGGTGCTGGAGGTTGAAGTATACATGCAGGAAACAAACATCTTCTGTTTACTGATTTGCTGTGGTTGACCTTTTTTTTCTTTTTTTCTTTTCTTTTTTTTCTATATAGGCCGTCTCAGAGTCTGACCTGAAAAATAACCGGACATTAGATGAACTCGTGAAAAGCTTTAATTCTGCAAGGTATCTTGTGCTTTTATGAACACGATATCTGGTTTGACAGTGAGAAAGGAGGGTGTGATGTAACTTGTATTAATTTGTATTTTGTGCATTATTTAGTGTTTTTGGTTTTTGCTAAAAATTTAGACTCAGTGTTAGTGAAGACAAAAATATTGATTCTGTTAACATCTGTATTTTAATAGTAAATTATTTGATGAAGACAGTGTACTTGCCAAAGCCTAAATGTCACAAGCGTGTGCTAACTGTAGGATGTATGGAATATTGTATCATATATAATGTATGAAAAAATATAAGTCATTTGTTGACTTCGTAGGAAGAGCAAATTGCCAAATCTGTTGCAGCAACAGTTTCTTGTAGAAGTGCTTTTGATAGTCTAGTTTGTTTCACCAGGCGCTACACAAGTGAAAGGATGAACGTTTACACTCATATTGAAAACATGACAGTTTTCAGCAGAAGGTTCCTGTCCTTTAAGGTGACATGTAGAGTTTATGCAGCCTGATCTTATCTCGCAGGACAGTGAGCTGCTTCTGGTTAGTTACACCGTTAGTTACAGTCCCTGTCAACAGCTGGGAAGTCAAGGAGATGTCGGGTATTACCTTCTACAGGGTGTTAATAAAGGTGCTCCTCCAAGATCCTTCCTGTGTATGCAGAGGAAATTGTCTGACCACAATATTTTGTCCAGTGATAATGGTCAACTTGCAAGGGAATTCTCTTGGGAAACTCATTGCATGGCAAAAAAAAATGTAGCTATTGAAGGACCAGTAATAGGATATTGTGCTTCCACCTGGTTTTCTTTTTTTCACTTTTTGTGTTTGATTTTGATTCATTTCTCAGTCTTTTCATCCTTTTAAAGGTAGGAATAATAAAATAAGCATAACTTGATAAATGCTTACGGCAGTAGTTATAAGAGATTTCTTGTATTAATGGTTTGCTTGCTTTTGATTAGAAGCAGCTCTGTGATTTGCTAGCTTTTTATGGTTGTGGGAGACAAATACACTATTATCATTTTTTTCTGAAATGAGCTTGGTGCCTGAAATCAATGAAATTCTTGGCTTCCTAACTGATAGGAAGACTAGTTCGTTTTATGGCTTTGTTTTTTGACAGCGTGTCTCTGTGATGAAGATCTAATCTTCTGTAAGCCTACTGCTAGATTTAATTGATTTTATTTGAAGAATTGAAATCCTGCAATTCCAGTATTTTAGCTTGCACTGTCTTTGTTGTCTAACGTTCTAGGTTACAAGTACTGCTAACTTGGATCCATTATGATACTGAATCCTGAAATTATTATATTTTTGACTGCTTTAATGGATCAGTGTAAATCTTACTAGTAGTTTAATCATTCCTCTTGTGACTTGGAGATCAGTCAATTTCTCAACATAGATCTAGATCAATAAACCTAAAGCTGTAATGTCCTATGTTAACTTGGTAAATGTTTGAGCAGCTTTGGAAACGTATTTGTGACTTAGGTATGCCCTGAGGGCAAAAAACAACCCCCGGAAGGCTCCTCAGTTGGAGAAAGTAATACAAAGTGCAGCAGCCGTGGGATCCCTATATCCGATGCTGTTGGTGTCTGCTCAGTGAGTTCCTCACATTCCCTGTGGTTTTCAGACTCATTTTCTGGTTTCTTACGGAATACAGTGTGCAAAGGGACTTCTGGAAGGCTTTTAATTGAGAAGAGGCAGGTAGATAGACAGAGGATATCCCTAAAGCTCTAGCCAGGTGTCTGGTGATCGGGGCGTCAAGGCAGGGCGGCCGCGGGCAGGGGCTGGCAGCGCTCGCGGCGCTGGGCTCGGGGCCGCTAGATGTCATCGCGGGGCCGAGGGACCCGCGCGCCCGGCTGCCCTCCCTTCCCAACCGGCAGCAGCAGCTTCCGCGCTGGCCCACAGAGAGGCAGGAACGGCTTTAACGTGTGCGCGTGCCGTGGCAAGCGGGTTAACGTGGCCGCGTCCTGTTCCAAAATCAAATCTCTGTGGAAAGTCTCTTCACAAAGCTCTGTCCTCCAATGTGAGAAATAACTCCTATCTTATTGAGATAATTTTCTAAATGCAAAATTCAGTATTTCCTCTGCCTTATTTGTCCAAACGTTATCTAGTTGTATTTGAAGTGGGCTGATCGTCCGGAGGTCTGGCCTCGGCAGGACCTTGCCCTTAGCTGCAGGGCTGGATGTTGCCTGAGCGTTTTGGGAATGAAAGGCAGCACCTGATTTGCTGCAGAGCCTCCCTGCGCGGCGCAGGCGCGCGGGCTGTGGTGGCCCTGGCACAGCCCGTGTTCTGCGGCGGTGACACCGGTTCCGCTCGGCGCCTGCCGCGCCGCGCGCGGGGCGATGCTGGCTGCGGAGGGGACCCCGTGCGAACAGCGCACGCAGCGGGACGTGTCTGCAGGAAAGCACCGCTCCTGTTCCCAGTCCACTGGCTCCTTAATGTCCCACGGAGCGGGTCCTGTGACAACAGTAGCCAGGCTCTGTTTGTGTCCATCGTGGGATTAACCTCCTTGAAAACTTCCAGTCCTTATCTAGGCATGAGCAGGCAAGAACACATAGTTTTCCTGCCACACTTAATTGTGGTTGTTTGTACTGTGGAAATTCAGAGCGTCCTGGGACTAATATAACTTCCTACTGACAAATACCAGTTTCTTCCTGTAATGCAGTAAAATGAAACTCTAACCCAGGCTGCTGAATCTGCTCGAGTACAGCCCCAGCACAGTGTGGAGTGTGCTGCGCCAGCCCTTGTGTTTGTTCACCGAGGACCCCTTGTAAACTAGTGCGATTGTCAGGGCACACGGGGACATACCTACCTCTTAAAAGCACATAAATATATACAGAAAGTTCTTAATTAGGAATGTTTCTTCCAGATGTGACAAATCTTAAAAGACATACAGGTTTTCTAAGTAGTCATCCCCTCCCAGCAGGTCTTTAGTTGTAAGTCTTAGAGCACAGCTACACCTCACACGTCCTGCTTTGGGCACCGTGCGTGCTCTGCAGCTGCGTTGCCCACGGATGGTTTCCAGCGGCGTTTCCTCTTTCCGAGCGCCGTGCCGCGCGTTCCGGCGCTCTCCCGTCGCCGCGGCTGCCCCCGACTCCTCAGCCCCGCTGCTCTCCCTGGGGACGGCCCGGGGAAGGGGCTGGAGG